GGCCGGCCCAGCCCCAAGGCGCATTGGAAACGACCGGTGAGTCAGCCGCGGGGGGAGGCTCGGTCCCGTGGAAAAGGACCCCACGTCTGACTCCCTCCTTTCAGGACGAGGACATAAAGAGGAAAAGCTGCCTGGGTTGTCTGGATTAGATTCAAAAAGCAGTCAGAAGGCTGGAGGGGAAAAGCGCAATTTGAAACCAGGCCGCGGGCTGTCCCTGGCCGGGTCTTTGCGATGAATGGTGTGTGCTCCCCTGGTTAGGACCTGCAGGCGGACGGTCCCCGGTGGCGGCAGGAAAGCTTGCTTAGCAGCACACACCAGGCCCCGTCGGAAGGCATTTCTCTGCGTCAGAAATTGCTTTTGCACCTCCAGGGCCACGCAGAGCCGGGGCGCCCTGGGCGCTCATCTGTTCTTTACGACTGTGTGCTGATTGTGTGCTTTCAGGGCACAGCACACCTTTCACTCATTTTCCCTCAAATGTGTTTCCTCCGAAGGGGATTCTGTGACTCCGAGTCTCTCCCCTTTCTGCCATGAACGAGAAATGGGATTTCAGCTGCACTGGCCTTGCCCGCGGCTGCCTGAGGAAGGAGGCGGGGCCGAGCGGATGGATGCTGGTTGTCAATTCCCACAGGGGGCCCTGGGCTCTGCAGGTCACAATGACACTTCCCACAGGCCCCGGGGGCCTACTGTCATCCGGGTCCTTGTCCACCTGAATCTGGGACCATCTGGGCCAGTTCGAGCTGCCCACACCCTTAACGTAGGAGCAACGGACATGACTCTGAGTGTCGCGGGGCCACGGCACACAGACCCTGTGGGATGAGAACCTGCAGGTACACACACTCTCCCATCATATGAACCCACTGTTGGCAAGGGGGACCTATAAAACATATATTTTATTTTTCATTTTTCTTTTTCAAAAAAATATATATTTTATTGATTTTAGAGAGGAAGGGAGAGGGAGAGAGAGATAGGAACATCAATGATGAGAGAGAATCATTGGTCGGCTGCCTCCTGCACGCCCCACACTGGAGATCGAGCCCGTAATCCGGGCCTGTGTCCTGACCAGGAATTGAACCGTAACCTCCTGGTTCATAGGTCTACAGGCAACCACTGAGTCACGCGGTTTGGGCTCCATTTTTGTTTTTACTGATTTTAGAGAGAGGAAGGAGAGAGCCAGAGAGAGAAGCATCTACTGGCTGCCCCACTTAACTACGCATTCTTCGGTGATTCTTACGTGCGCCCTCACCGGGGACTGAACCCAAAACCTTGGCAATCAGATGACGCTCTAACCAGCTGAGCGGCCCGGCCGGGGCCTCTATATTTAATTACATAGCAAGTGGTGATCTTTTCTCATTCCCCTAACACGGAGATGAAGAACTAGGGCCATGGCCCAGGAAATGCACAGAGTCCTCCTTGGATTTTTTTGAAACATTAACAAACATATGGACTGAGTCATTGGTTCCCGGGTGAAAAGTGCGCTCAGGGCACAGTTACTGTTTGGAAACATTAATCTGAAAAGCTGCTCCCTGGGTTAGGGCAGGAAACCGCCTTAGGCAGGGCCATGGGCTGTTTGTGGGCGGGGCCTCGGGCTGTTTGCAGGCGGGGCCTTGGGCTGTTTGTGGGCGGGGCATGGCTGGCAGCAGGGTCCCTGCTGGGGCATCAATGCCTCTGGGGCTGAAAAAGCTCAGAAAACCCAGAGAATCCTGTGCTGGGCCCCTGTGCTCAAGCCCATACTCACAAACAAAGAAAGTGGCTCTGAGTTTTACAAAGTTCCCCCAATTCAGACTCATTTCCCCGCTGATTTCTGAAAATGTCAGCGTGTTTCCATCACTGAGGCATCCATCAGAGACACCGAGCCCCCATGATAGCTCCCCCCCTGAAGTCATGCTTCCCAAGAACATCCCGGACCCAGGGGTTTCTTTACTGGGGATGCAGGGCGAGAGAATACCGGGCAACGTCTATGGCCACCACAGCAACTGCCAGCATCCTACCATGTCGCTCCACAAAAACAGCAACTCCCTACAGTTCAATCTAGAACACTTGAAAAAAATTGAGTTAAAAAATTAAGTAATTTTTAATTTTCTCTTGGCATTTAATAGGTGTGTGCATATTCACCACTTTCAAGCATTGGCATATCAATTACCTGTGGGAGGAGCATTAAAATCTGTTCTCAAGTAACTACAATGAGGGGCTTCTTTTTTAACCCAAACTAGGACGATACCTTTTAAAAAGAGAGAATCATCATGGAATATGGGGGGAAAAAGTGGCTGCTAGGTTCCAGACGAATTTAAAAAAGGGACATTTTAAAGGCCAGGAACAAAGCTAAGAGAGCTCTCAGCGCACAAGCCGCCAATCCCAGCTCTCGGCCTCCACGCACAGGGCCAGGGCCATCCAGGCAGAAGCTGCACACAGACGCCGGCTACAGCTTTACCGCAACTGTCAAACCTGGGAAGCAACCGGGATTCGCCCGTGACTGTCCCTCAGCAGCTGCATGGGGGAGGGAGCGGCCGTCTGCCCAGTTGTTTATCCACTCGCCTGCCGACGGGCAACAAGGGCACGTTATTCGGCGGAAAGAAAGGCGCTGTGGAGGCAGGACTCCGCGTGCAGGGGCCCGATGCAGGCGACTAAGGACGGAAGCGAGTCTGAAAGGCCACACTGTGCGACTCCCACTGTGCCGTCCTGGAAAAGGCAAAACTGTGGCCCAGTGAACACACCAGGGGTTTCTGACGCTGACGGGAGGGGCGAAGGTGGAGCCCAGAGGGCATGGGGCAGGGACACTGCCCTGGGACGCTGTGATGTGGTCACACGCCATCACACATCTGTCCACACCCACAGGTGCACAGCACAAGCGTGAACGCTGCCCGGCCGGCGTGGCTCAGTGCTTGAGCGCCCACCCATGAACCAGGAGGTCAGGGTTCGATTCCCGGTCAGGGTACATGCCGGCTCGGTCCCCAGTGTGGGGCGTGCAGGAGGCAGCCGATCCATGATTCTCTCTCATCATGGATGTTTCTGTCTCTTTCTCCCTCTCCCTTCCTCTCTGAAATCAATAAAAATGTATTTTTAAAAAAATGAGTGAGCCCTGGTGTCCCCTGTGGCTCTGGGTGACCCTCCGTGTCAATGCAGGTCATCGGTTGTGACAAATGGCCCTGGTGGGGAGCCTAGTCGGAGAGCTGTGGGGGGGGGGGGGGGGGGGGTTGGGAAGGGATGCGGGAACGCTCCCTTCTCCCCTCAGTGCTGCTGCGAAGCCTAAACTGCTCCAAGGAGCCTGTTTACTGGCAGGAATGGCCCGAGAGCACAGGAACCCTCTCCTCACGTTACCAGCTTCTCGGTTGTACCCATCCCGCCTGCAGATCACACGCCTACGGTCCACTCTCACCATCGCTTCTGAAGAAAAGGACACTTTTATTTCACAAAAAAGAGCAAAACTGACATCACCTTAGCGTAACGGACATTTTCCCCCGAAGAGCAAACTCCCATGGTATTTCGCAGTGACCGACCCCCTCCTGCAGGCACTGCCCCGCGAGCTCCCATCTGCCGACGTCCTCAGGCCCAGCGGGCCCCGAGGTGAGAGACTGCGAGCCCGTGACCTCAATTTCAGAGCAACCTCTTTAAGCTTCGCACTGACCAAAGCTCACTCTCTTATGTAAATCCCCCTCTGGCTCACCAGGGACCTGCGGGAGGTACATGGAGGTGGAATGTGTTTACGTGTGAGTTCCACTTGCTTTTCGATGCCGCTGACCCCGCGTGCCACTGAACTAAATGGTGCCTCCACATGGGGCCCTAAATGCACTCAAAGGGGGAACCGCACCGACCCCCTCCTCCCCCGCCGTCCCGGGAAACGTCCATTACAAATGGCCGGGCCGCGAAGGTGGACGTGTCTCCGGGAGCTGACAGAGCCGCGGGCCTGGTGGAGGCCCCGAGGACCCTGGGAGGCGGCTCGCCCTCTAACACCTGGCCCTCAGCCCAGGGAGGCGAGGACCAGGCTCGCCGTGCGGGAGGTCGGGGGAGGGAAAGCCGGTCAGCTGGCAGCCGGCGGCTCCAGGAATCACCCACAGCCACCTGGGAGCCGCCCTGGAGCCAGGCGTGGGGAGCGCCAGGGTCAACCTGGTGTCCAGGGGACCCACACCTGGCTCGGCTTCAGGTGAACAGGCGGATGTCAGCCTTTAAAGGTCCACACACAGATAGAGCCTCACGGAGCCGCATCTCTGCTCCACCCCAGTGACTTTTGTGTATGTGTGAGGTAGAGGCAAGGGATTGTTCTGTCCACAGCAAAGCTCAATTGTCCATTGGTGGAAAAGCCGGTCTCCATCACACAGTGTGACCTTCATCACTGTATAAAGTTTATATGTGCAGATAGATGTAGACATAGATAGATGATATAGATACAGATATATAGATATAGATATATTATAGATGTAGATATAGATATATAGATATATAGATACAGATATATAGATATAGATATATTATAGATGTAGATATAGATATATAGATATATAGATACAGATATATAGATATAGATATATTATAGATGTAGATATAGATATATAGATATATAGATACAGATATATAGATATAGATATATTATAGATGTAGATATAGATATATAGATATATAGATACAGATAATAGATATATAGATAGTATAGATGTAGATATAGATATATTATAGATGTAGATATAGATATAGGCATAGATATAGATATAGAGATATTATATACAGATATATATAGATATTATAGATGTAGATATAGCTATTATAAATATAGATATAAATGTAGATATAGATATTATAGATATAGATATATAGATGTAGATGTAGATATATACAAATAGATATTATAGATATAGATACAGATACAGATATAGATATAGATATAAATATTATATAGATATATAGGTATATAGATGTAGATATAGATATAGAAATAGATAATATAGATATAGATATAGATACAAATGTAGATATAGATATAGGTATAGATAATATATATGTAGATATAAATATAGATATAGATATTATAGATGTAGATATAGCTATTCTAATAAAGCAGCATTTCCTAAGACAAGCATTCTCTTTGACGCGCTCTTTAAATCTCCACATTGTGCTTAAGGAACATGCCCTCCCTGTGGGGAGGCCAGAACACAGCACTGGTCCCCGAGGTGGACTGGGGCCCGGGGCTGCACTCACTTGAGAACTGCAGGGAGAAGCCGGACTTGCTGATGAAGAAGTCGCTGTCGAACTGCAGGGTGAGCGCGTTGAAGGTGCTGTGGATGTCGCCGGGCAGCGCGGAGCCGCTCCACTCCTTCAGCAGGATGGCGCCGTCCGCGGGCCCGTCCCACACCCGCAGGATGTCGTGGCTCTTCTCCGTGTCGAACAGGATGAAGTGGAGGCTGCGGAGACAGCACAGGGCCTGTCACTCAGGGGACACCTCCCGTCCCGGGGCGCACGGAGGCCCCAGCGATGCACACCAGCCACTGCACACGCTCCCATCCCACCCTGACCTGCCTGCCGGCACTTGGCAGGTGTGCCCCCGGGACTGGGCCGCAGGGACACCCATGCGGGCGGGATCCCCGTGGCAGGACCCGCTCCACCTGCCAGGGATGCGCAGAGCCCTGAGCCACATCCTGGGCTACTTTTTAAGGATGAAACCATCCCTTCTGAGGCTGTCAGCTCTTTTTAAAATATATATATATTTTTATTGATCTCAGAGAAGAAGGGAGAGGGAGAGAGAGAGACATCAATGATGAGAGACAATCATGGATCGGCTGCCTCCTGCACACCCCACACTGAGGATCGAGCCCACAACCCGGGCAAGTGCCCTGACTGGGAATTGCCTCCTGGTTCATAGGTCGACGCTCAACCACGGAGCCACGCGGGCCGGGCTGCCAGCTCTTGGCTCTCAGGACAGCTTCCCGGGCATCAGGACACAGGGGACAGAGCTTTGTGGGAAACTGATCCCGCAGGTTTTCAATGTGGTGTCGGTGTTGTTCTCGTCATGCCCAGGAGGGGGCAGCACCCACGCCAGCAGGAAAGGATGATGACACCAGGAGATTGTCTACCTGAACCTCTATGATGGGGTCTGATGTTGTATTTGTTCCCATAAATTGCATTCTCAGAAAATGCATTATTTGCAACTGCAACACGAAGGCGGGAGTGGGCCCCATCAACTCCTTCCTTTATCACATTTACAATTCGCGGAGCGCGCAGGCAGAGATGTGCAATACCAACTCCTTCCTTTACGAAGTTTACGGCACTTTCATTGGATTTACAGATATTTTCCAGAGCGACTCCAGCGTCCCTGTGAGGGGGCTCGCTGTCAGAGGCGGCGGCAGAAATCGGTCCTATTTACGCAATTCAGACAGATCAGAGCGGAGCGGATGCCAGCGGTTGATTTACAGCGTTTTATTTACTGCTCAACGCACAGAATTGTAAGGGAGATAAAAACATCGGAATAGATGACACAGGAAAGACTGCGCACACATCTAAATTACCTAGTTTGTGTGTATGATATGCTTAAACATATCTCTCACCTGAATGGAGTATGAAACATAGTTCATTTTTAAATGTCCAACATGAAATATATTTTTATTCCACAGAAAAGATCAGACTACAGCAGGCATGTGTGTACCCCTCCCCTGACCCGGTGGTAACAGTCAACCCCATTCGATCCAGATCTTTTTAAAGAATAAAATCTTACAGACACTCTCACACGCCCTCCCCCACGTGGTCTTGTGTCGTTCCGGCCACCCACGCTCTGAAGTTCAGATGGACCGTCCTGTTTATATTTTCAGTTTCCATCCACGTGTGCACGCACAGGGCCCTTCGGTGTGTCCACCAATGATGACATCATCGATGGTCCCTTTGCTGTGGGTTTGTATTGCCTTCAAGTTGCTTTTCATACTCGGCATGAAGTGAACCCCTCTGCCCTGGGGAATGTCACTTTCAGGGAGTCACACAGAGGAGAGGAAATGAAACGATGACTTACATCATCATCAGAAAGCAGGCGAGAGCGGGGAGTCCTTCTAAGACGGGCAAGGCCCACGCACAGGACACGGCGCACAGATTGAGGCAAACGGTCTCAGATCTCGTGACCGGGACCGCGCACTGTGCCGGGGCTGGAATTCAGCTCCGTCCGCAATGTCAGCTTTCCTTCAACTCATCTATTGATCAACTGTGATTCCAGTAGGAATCCTAGCGATTTCCGTGGTAGGAAGTGACACGTGTTTGTAAAATGTATGTGGAAATGCAGAGCCACGGACAACCATGGCAATCTAACGCAGAAGAACGAAGGTGGGGGTTATACTACGGAATCTCAAGACTTCTAATAAGGCAAGTAAGGAACCAATAGAGACAGGTACTGCGCTGGATGGACAGATAGATGGACAGATGGATGGACAGGTGGATGGACGAACAGATGGACGAAATTAAGCTCAGAAACAGGCCGAAGTGAATGAATTATTTGTGATGATGGTCACACTGCCCTGCGATGGAGACTGGCTGTTCCACAAACGGACAATCGCGCTTCACTATGGACAAAACAGCGCCTTGACCCTCCTCACGCCACGTGCAAAAGTCAACCCGGGTGGAGTGGGGATAAATGTGGAGGGAAAATAAACCTCCTCCTACAATAACCTAACGTAACATTGTTCTAACAGGGGAAGGCAATACTTTTAAATCTGAACACATAACCATTATGAACATTCCCAACAAAATACGTGATAGGACAGAATCTAAGTACAGAGGCCCATTAACTATGAAAGAGAGTGAGTTAAAATGGATTCGACTCATGGAAATGAAGAGTCTGCGAGCATCAAAAGACCTCGTTATGCGATTGAAGTGACTGCCCACGGGGTATAAGAATGTGTAAGTTACACCTGGCTGAGCGGCTCAGTTAGTTGAGCATCGTCCTGTCACCCAAAGGTCGCTGGTTCGATTCCCGGGCAGGGCACATGCCTGGGGTGCAGGCTCGATCCCCAGGAGGGGGCGTGCAGGAGGCAGCCAATGATGGTTTTCTTTCACATCAATGTTTCTGTCTCTCTTTCTCTCCCTCTCTTTCTCAATAAAATAAAAAAGACTAGATAACTTATGTATGTGCTGTATGTAACACATTATTGCTATAGACGTTCAATAAGAGACTGCATTCAGATGTACAGAAACTGCTTCTGTACTGGAACGTGGAGAGAAGACCCTCTGGCTGGAGGCCTGAGGAATCTGGGGCGTGGCCACGGGCGTGGATCCAGGCGTGGCAGCTGGTGGGTGGGTGGTGAGTGGAAGGCTTGGGGAGAAGGGGGGTGAACAGTGAGGTCACGGGGTGGGCGGGCCAGCAGCGTGGAGGTAGGAGGGCCTGGCTGTCCTGACACCCAGATGTCCGGCTGCGAGGGAAGGCGCTGAGGCACGGAGCGCGGAGGCCAGGGAAGGCGGCACACTTCTCAGGCGGGATCATGAAAAGGCGTCTTTGCTGAGGGCCTGACGTTGTAACTGAGGCCTAGAATTTGAGAAGGGTCTGCGGGTGAGGCAGGGCACCTGGGTGCACAGGCCGAGCGCGGGATGGAGACAGCGAGCGCTCCCTCTGAAACGGGCCCAGGTGAGCATCGGGCCCAGGTGAGCATCGGAGATAACAGATAACGCGCCAGGGCAGAGCGCCAAACCCCTGGGGGCCAGGACCCTGGGAAACCAGCCGGTAGAGGCTTTGGAGAGGTCAGTAGGGAGAAAATTAAAGTGCGAGGGAAGTGAGGGGAGAGAGGAACTGGAAACTCAGGTAAGAGGGAGGGGGAGACGGGCCCCACCAGCGCGGCTTCATGCACCAGGTTTCCACGGCCTCCTAGACAGCGGTTCTCAACCTGTGGGTCACGACCCCTTTGGGGGCCGAATGACCCTTTCACAGGGGTCGCCTAAGACCATTGGAAAACACATATATAATTACATGTTGTTTTTGTGATTAATCACTATGCTTTAATTATGTTCAACTTGTAACAATGAAATTGGGGGTCACCACAACATGAGGGACTGTATTAAAGGGTCGCGGCATGAGGAAGGTTGAGAACCACTGGACCTAGAAAGAGATCTAAGGCTGTCAGCCCCACAGACCGGGAGGCACCACCAGGCCTTGGGGAAATACTGGGGACGGAGGACACAGGAGTCAAATAACTTCTGAAAATGGAACCCTTTCAGGAGCAGGACGGGCACATCGGGAGGGTGAGCAGACACAGGGCTGGGAGGAGGTGGCTAAGGAAGCCGAGGCGCATGGGCTCTCGGAGGTGTCAGCGTCTCCTCCCCGGGACAGTGGTGACCCCAGCGTCCCCGTCAGCCCCCCACCCCCACCCCCGTCATTCCCGTCGGTGTGGCTCAGGCCCGACTCCTGCGGGCAGTTGGCTCGTGTCCTGCACGTGCACCTCCTGGCCGGTCCCCCCTAATGATCCATGTTGTAAACGTCCTGGGCATATCCCGGGGAGACGGAGGTGGCGCGGCTGTCTGTGCATGAAGGGACCGAGGAGGGGGCTTTGGAAGGGGACAGGGCTAGGCCCGGCCCGGCCCGGGAGGTGCCTCCTACAGGGGTGGTGACTCGGAGCTGAAGACCCAAGAGGAGTGGGTCCGCCCACCTCCCCCACCACCCCCTCTACCCTGGGCGTCTGTTTCACACACGTCACTGGGGTCACTGGATGCCACTGTGCACAGGACACAGATCACCAGAGTGGGAGCGTTTCCGTCCACCGACTGCCCGACCAAGGCCCTGGCTGTGGCCTCTCTCTGCCCTTCCTGTGTCCACAGAGAAACCCGGAGGCCGGCCGCTCCGTCTCTGCGGGTGCAGTGACACCAGGGAGGGCCACAGGGACCAGAGTCATGGGGGTCAGAGCTGTGGGGGGCGGGGTAGGCAGAGTCTTAAGAAAGGCTGTGGAGCTTTCATGGCTGTGAGCGTGTGAGGTGAGGCTGTTTACGTGGTGGGTTGTGGCGACCAGGCCGGGCCCGCACGGCAGGTCTCAGTGTCCGCCCAGCACGGGGACCCTCCCCTGACGCCTCAATAAAATAGATGGATGGTAACAAGCAATAGAAAACAAATAATAACGATGTGGAGAGGGGGAAGCGCGCTGCGGATGCACGGACGGCAAGTGGGCGGAGAAGAGGGGCGAGAAGTGGGCGGAGGACCGTGCGCCCCTCCAGGCCATCAGGGCGTGACCAAGGCCAGCTCGCTTGGAAATGACCTTTCGCTGGATGGACTGGGGATTCCGACACAGCCTTCCCACTGGACATGGAGAAGCTGCTTTAAAAACGTTCCTTTTGCTGGTTTGCTCAGTGGTTTCACAAACTGCTCTCCACAACCCAGACCATTCAAACAGACGCTTTCTCTTAAACGGCTGCATGTTTGATGGTTGTCTGGTGCGTGTGCCCCTCCAGCCTGGAGCGGGTCCTGGTCTGCCCCACAGTGACGTCCGTGTCTCACGGGTGAGGATGAGCCGTGTCCTCCCCGCCTGCCTGGGGCCCATCACTGCGACTCTGTTCTATTCCAATTAAGGGGTGGAGTGTCTCTCTCCAAACCCTCTTGCTCCTGAGACCATGAGATCTGCTTTGGCAAAGGGCACGTGAGCAAATGTGACACAAGTGGGAGTGTGAAAAGCCGTCATCTCCTCCCACTGCGGACCTTCCACCGTGACCAGCTCTGGAGGACCGGCAACCTGGGCGGAGAGGACCCTGCCTTCCCAACCGTCTGGCAGAGGCCCCATACCTGAGCGAGGCCACCGGGACCACCTGGCTGGGCGTGCACAGACCAGACTGCCCAGACCACCCACCACGTCCTGAGCACATCACTAACTGTTTAAAGCGACTGAGTCTGGGGGCCAGCTTGTTACACAGCCAACGCTAACTGATACACTTTCTGTTTTCCTTTGTTATACGTGGTTACTGCACATTATCAAAGGAACACAGTGTCAGCCCGTGGGCCCGCGGACCATTCACCCCATAGCGCGCTCCCTCGCTCCCTCCTGTAGCTCAGCAACCTCACACCTCACCCCCCAGGGGTCACAGTGGGGAGAGCAGCCGACACACCTCTATCCCCAAATCGCCGGAGCAGAATCGGACACGCACCTGATGGTCCTCCCAGGGTCGGCCTCGATGACCCAGGTGCAGTGCAGGTTGTTGTCGTAGGGCGCCGGGTAGCCGGGGGACAGCAGGCGCCCCGAGGTGGCCGCGTGGATCTGCCCACCGCACTCCGCTGCAAGACACAGACGTGGGGTCACACAGGGGTCACGGGTTATTTAGCCACAAGGACACAGCCCACCTGTCTGTGTCTCATACATAACCCACCACAGCCACCTCCCTGTCTCTATCGTTTCTTTCTGTTCTTGTTCCCAAGCATCGCCCTGAAGGAAAGACATCGTCTCTCAGGAAATTACAGCGGAGAGCAGAAAACCATGAAACACGCGTGCTGTAATTCTAATAATTCCCTGCAGATGGTCTCAATGAAATGGAACTAGAACATCTGTCTTTCACACCTAAACACCTACACACAGCCTGGCCGGCGTGAGTCAGTGGTTGCGTGACGACCTATGAACCAGGAAGTCAGTGTTCCATTCCCGCTCAGGGCACAGGCCCGGGTTATGGGCACAATCCCCAGTGGGGGGCGCACAGGAGGCAGCCGATCCATGCTTCTCTCTCATCACTGATGCTTCTATCTCTCGCTCCCTCTCTCTTACTCTCTGAAATCAATAAAAATATATACATTTTAAAATCCTACACCAACGTCAGGAACATGAACTCGGCGGTGGGGACAGCAGTGGGAGCACCACGGCTCCGGCCGGGCCCCCGCGGGAGCGGGCCCCACTCACCCACGCAGGATGGCAGCGGCTGGTCCCACACTCTGCGGTCCCCGCTCAGGCA